TAAACAGACCTAACTGAAATATTCAATGCATTATCTAAATATTTTTGCCCTTTGAGCAATGCACAAAACAATATTAGGAAGGTTCTGCCACCCAGTGGCTCTTTATGACAGTTGAGACTTAAACTAATGGTTGTAATGTGAGAATTATTATTAAATAAACCTGCTCTTTAATTTTGATTAAATATCAAGTCTTCGTCAATCTATAATTTTCACAGTTACTTCTTGTACCATGAAAGAATGTTGCCTTATTAGATTTTAGATGGATTAAAAAGCAGTGAAAATCTCCATATGAGGAATGGATTGTGTCTTAGCACAAGATTTCAGTAAGCAAAAATGAGTATTATCCATTCCTGTGCTAAAGAATCTTTAAAGGTGAATAAGGTTTTTGCCAGCTTAATATACAGACAACTATAAGTAAACCATTTGTTGTTTGATTCCCTTGAAGAGAGTAATCAAGATTGTGGCTCTGATGGGAACACCTGTTTGGTCAAACAATGGAAGACAGAGGGAGTGATTGGGAATCCTGTTTGGAATCATCAAACATGGTCAATCTATAATTTTCAGTTACTTCTTGTACCATGAAAGAATGTTGCCTTATTAGATTTTAGCTGGATTAAAAAGCAGTGAAAATAAACAATGGAAGACAGAGGGAGTGATTGGGAATCCTGTTTGGAATCATCAAACATTAATTCTGATACTTCATTTGGTGCTGACAGTGGCATAGAAATATTTACAAATAAATGCTTCTAACTCATAAGTCATTATACAGTCAGTGCACATTACCCTTAAATGCTTAGGTTTTTTTTTTTAAAAGAAAGGAGTTTAAAAAAAAAAGCAATACTTTTATTCAGCAAGGATGCAATACATTTTCAAAAGTGAATGTAAAGACATTTATAGTCTTGCAAAAATGTCTATTTCAAATAAATGCTGTACTTTTGAAGTTTCTATTTAACAAGCAACTGTTTTCAGCATTGAAAAAAATAAGAAATGTTTCTTGAGCACTCAATCAGCATACTAAAATGATTTCTGAAGGAACAGGTGACACTGAAGACTGGAGTAATGGCTGCTGAAAACTAGTTTGCCTTACAGGAAAAATTTGCATTTTAAAATATATTAAAATTGTAATAAAATTTCACGATATTACTGTTTTTACTGTATTTTTAATCAAATGAATTCAGCCTTGGTGCGCATAATAGACTTCTTTTAAAAACATTCTAAAAATCTTTTGAACAGCAGTGTATATGCATGGAAGGATAAAAATTTACCAAGAGTGACAAAAAAGCAGAAGAGACTATCCACTATTGTGTCCATTATGCCATCCATGTCTGTGTCCATGATATCTGGTTTATTGATTGCTGAGGGTACAGAACAGTATTACCATTAATAACATTCAGATTACAAATGAAACAAACATGAAGTCAACACTTCAAGCCACTCTAATAGCTTACCATGGTAGGAAATGTGTTCTTTGTTTTGATTACAGAGAATGAACATATCATCTTCAAGTGTGATGAAGTTCAAATATTGATCAAATACCTGAGGAGGAACAGAACAGTCTAATATTTGAACTGTATAATGAAAATGAGCAGTACGTTATTTGCCTTCCTTCAGGAATTCACAGAGCTCGTCTGTTTGGTAAAAACAAGCTTTAATAAAAAAAAAAAAAGATTGTTTATTTAAATGCTCTAGCAAACTGAATCAAATTTACAACTAACACTCACAATGAACAAATGTGTTTGACTTACTTTGGTCACCTGGTTTACAGCATTAGCTGCTAGAGCAGCACTTGCTATGTCCTCCAATTTGCTTCTAGAGACTGCGGAGATGAAGTTCAAATAGTAGGACTCATATAGTTGGTTTCGGAGGTCCTGTAAAAGTGAAAAAAACTTTTAGTTTTGAAAAAGTGTGATCTTCACAAATTGTCCTGGAACGGGACTGACAAAAAGACTGACTGACTAATTATTCAGTGAACATATTTACTTGACATATCCTGTCAATGTTCTCCTCTGTGGGCATTACAAAGTAAATGGCAGGAACATCTGGAATGGGGTCACGATCTGAGTGCAACAAGCTAATTATATTTCAAATGAATGTGTATCCACCTGTGTGCTAACACTATGGATGCTCTTCGTGAACTGAACAGCTCTATGAACGAACAACAAACAACCCTGACGATTTTTTCATTATATCTGGTGATTTCAACCATGTAAATCTAAACTCAGTCTTGCCGAAGTTCTACCAACACGTGAACTTTGCAACAAGGGTAACAACACATTGGACCAATGTGAAACTCAACAGTCCAATGTGAAAAACATTCAGCCACTTGTAAAACTAGCCAAACCGGTCAGAAAGCGGATGACAGTATGGCCAGATGATGCTCTCTCAACACTCCTGGACTGCTTTCAGGACACAGACTGTAACAAAGTGGCAGCCTTCAAGAATGCACTGATACAATGACTGCCTATGTCAAAAAGTCCATCGATGACGTGAGTCATCGAGACCATCACCACACGTGCCAACCAGAAACCATGGCCGACAAAAAACCCGAGACCCGAGATGATGCTTTCAGATCAGGAGATAAATCAACCCTCAACACAGCAAGAACCCGCCTGTAACATTGACTACAAGCCCCTGCCACAGGCCTGTGATGATCACACATCCCTCCCAGATGCACTCAACCACTTCTCTTCACGGTTTGAGATGCAGAATAACACACATGCACAAAAATCCACACCCCAACCACCAGATGCTCTGTCTGACTCTCTGTCCTGGTAACATGCCTGGCAGTGTACTGAGAAACTGTGCTAAACAGCTGACCTGTTAGGCAGTCGTCCTTTAATACACATACACATGAATTATTTTCATAGTAAAAAGGATACAGTACTCAGAAACACCCGTGCTCCACCGATTGGCTTTCCAGTACCAAGGTAATGATACTCTGAGATCTGGCACAACCTTGTGGCACTGTGTGGAAAACACCCACAGCTTCATAACGGGTCCTGTGCTGGAGTGCAAAATACAGATTACTGAAGTCTGAAACACATACATAAATCATAATAACTCATGTACTACTGTTCAAAAGTTTGGGGTCAATAAGGTTTAAAAAAAAAAAAAGAAATTAATACTTTTATTCAGCAAAGATGCATTAAAATGATCAAATGTTACAGTAAAGACATTTATAATGCTACAAAAGATTTCTGTTTCACATAAGTGCTGTTCTCTTGAACTTTCTATTCATCAAAGAATCACAGTTTCCATAAAAATATTAAACACAACTGTTTTCGACGTTGATAATAGTGTGATAATAATGTTTCAAATCAGTATATTAGAATGATTTCTGAAAAATCATGTGGTGAAGTAATGCTGAAAATTGAGCTTTACCATCACAGGAATAAATTACATTTTAAAATATATTAAAATTGTAATAAAATTTCACGATATTACTGTTTTTACTGTATTTTTAATCAAATGAATTCAGCCTTGGTGCGCATAATAGACTTCTTTTAAAAACATTCTAAAAATCTTTTGAACAGCAGTGTATATATGCATGGAAGGATAAAAATTTACCAAGAGTGACAAAAAAGCAGAAGAGACTATCCACTATTGTGTCCATTATGCCATCCATGTCTGTGTCCATGATATCTGGTTTATTGATTGCTGAGGGTACAGAACAGTATTACCATTAATAACATTCAGATTACAAATGAAACAAACATGAAGTCAACACTTCAAGCCACTCTAATAGCTTACCATGGTAGGAAATGTGTTCTTTGTTTTGATTACAGAGAATGAACATATCATCTTCAAGTGTGATGAAGTTCAAATATTGATCAAATACCTGAGGAGGAACAGAACAGTCTAATATTTGAACTGTATAATAAATACGAGCAGTACGTTATTTGCCTTCCTTCAGGAATTCACAGAGCTCGTCTGTTTGGTAAAAACAAGCTTTAATAAAAAAAAAAAAAGATTGTTTATTTAAATGCTCTAGCAAACTGAATCAAATTTACAACTAACACTCACAATGAACAAATGTGTTTGACTTACTTTGGTCACCTGGTTTACAGCATTAGCTGCTAGAGCAGCACTTGCTATGTCCTCCAATTTGCTTCTAGAGACTGCGGAGATGAAGTTCAAATAGTAGGACTCATATAGTTGGTTTCGGAGGTCCTGTAAAAGTGAAAAAAACTTTTAGTTTTGAAAAAGTGTGATCTTCACAAATTGTCCTGGAACGGGACTGACAAAAAGACTGACTGACTAATTATTCAGTGAACATATTTACTTGACATATCCTGTCAATGTTCTCCTCTGTGGGCATTACAAAGTAAATGGCAGGAACATCTGGAATGGGGTCACGATCTGAGTGCAACAAGCTAGAGGAAACAAATAAAAAGTAAACAGTCATTCAAATCAATCTAATCAAATCTTTTTTTTTTTTTTTATAAATATATAAATAAATAAAACCTTAGAGGTCCTTACAGGTGCAGAGTGATGCCCATGTCCCGTAACTCTTTCACAGACAGCAGGGGAGATATGATGTCTTGGCCAAAGCGATCGTAAATAAGAACCTAACAAGAATAACAAAGGGTAAATGTTCAAGCAAATTATAACTATAAAAGCATCCTGAGCCACATAAAAAAAAAAAAGCAATGGATAGTGGAAGGGTAAACCCATAGGTGTGTGTTGCGTACCCTTACCTTCCATACCGGCTCAGCTGTTGTGTTTTTTAAAGGTGGGGCATTGAAGTTGAGCATTCGCTTCAAAGCAGCTGAGGACAGAAACATCATAGAAATATAATACATAAACATTTTTAATAACTTCTATTACTACTTAAAATAATTTATTATCGCCAGGAGACTAATTTACTTGATTGTGTTTCAAAAGACTTGAGTGTATGCATAAAAAAGTCATTTTATAAAAAATAAAATAAAAAATAAATAAATTAATTGAAGCCTACATGCGTTGGCAGGATTTGACCAGAAAAACTCCTACATTTTTTTCTACCTTTTACTGATGAGTGAAGAGTGAAGGTCAGAGATGTTTTTAAACAGCCGCTTCCTCTCTTGCCTTATAGCCAGTGGTGATTCAATATAGTTTGGCAATGACACTGACTCTGGGGGAGAAAAACAATCCATGCATGTAACTTTGGAATAATTCTACACAAGCACATTTTAAACAAAAGCTCAGATAGCTCACTTTTTCCCTCAACAGCAGCTTTACAGTCAGCACAGATCCAGTTGCTTTCGTAAAGCTTAAGGTTGGAACATTTTCGATGAGTTCCCCTAGATCCGCACAACTTGCAGCGAACAATTTCAAAATACCTGTAAAGCAAAGGCATTTCTAATTTTAACAATAGTTAGAATCCTTTTCAAAAACAAACCGATTGAAATTTCATGATTTCAGAATGACTAAATAAAATGCTCCAATTACCCTGACTGTGAGCTATATTTACGACCTTTCTGACTGCGACAATTCACAGCATCACAGTGCTGGTACACTTGCAATAAATCTCCATATGCATTTTCCTCTAGTTCCCATGCTGCATCCCTGAAAAATATACAATATATTAAAGGAATAGGTCACCCATAAAAGAAAATTTGCTTAACATTTACTAAACCTGAGGTCATCCAAGAAGTAGACGAGTTTGTTTTTGTTTTGTTTTTCCATCTGAACAGATTTGAAGAAATTTAGTATCACATCAGTACATTTTGGATGGCCTAAGGGCGAGTACATTTTCAGCAAAATTTTATTTTTAGGTGAACTATTCCTTTAACATACATAGTAATGGAAAATGAATAGTTTTTCAATGCCACAGATATGGCATTGTTTTGCCATGTGAAAGTGATGTGCAACAAAATATATATTAAAAGAAAAATTTTTAAATACATAAAATATATAAAATGTAAATAATTCCAGCAGTCTATGAAGGATACAAATCAAACACTAAACCAATCAGAATATTTTACATTTAATAACTAGAATCAATATCAGAAGGAAACATTCGATTTACCGCTCTGGTATACATATTCCCATTCTGAGCATTTCCTGCTGAAACTGGTCCTTGTTATTACAGAGTGTGCATTTGAAGAAAAACATGGCAGCGCTGTGTGCATAATGCTGAAACATAAGAGATGAAAACCAGGCTTAAATTTCGAATCCCATATCTTCGTATTTTAGACATATTTTTTTTAGATCATTCGTCTGAATGTGTGGTACAATTACCTGTACACAGTTTCTGTGAAACCAGCTGCCATGACACGCAGGACACTTGAGGACATTGTAGGAGAGGACGGGTTCAATGGGCTCCAGACAGACGGAGCAAGAGAGGGGCAGACTGGGGCTAGAGACGCAGGACTGACTAGGTGCATGCTTTTTACAGAAAGACCTGCAAATTATTGCCATCATCAATAACAAGATACAATGAAATTACCAGAAAAAAAAAAAACGTTCAAAAGTTTGGGGTCATCATGATTTTTTTAAAAATTTATTTAGCAAGGATGCATTAAATTGATCAAAAGTGACAGTAAAGAAATTTATAACGTTAAGATTTCTATTTCAAATAAAAGCTGTTCTTTTCCACTATCTATTGATCAAAGAATCCTGAAAAAAAATCTAGCATGGTTTCCACAACAATATTTAGCAGCACAACTGTTTTCAACATAATAATATGAAATGTTACTCGAGCACCAAATAAAATAAAAAACCTACCCCAAACTTTAAACTTTTAGTGTAGATTTTACATTTCCATCTCATCTTCCAATGACAACCATTACATTTTGCATATCACGAGAGAGAGACACTTACGGAAACAAGTCGGTGAACTGGAAAATAAACTCCTGCTCTAACCCACAGGGCATGTGGACCATTTGCCGACATCTTTTGATGGAGCACCCCACCGAAGCACCAACCTTTTTGCAGTGCATGCACCTCTGCAAGTCAAAAAGTAATAGTTGTAGTCTCAGAAACATTTCTACAGCGTTAAACAGAACATGCCAAGGGTCAAATGTGTACTTACCAGCCTCGAAGATCTGCGGATCTCCTTTTTTATGTCATCCACAAGAAAACCATGAACGTCTTCATCTTCCTCCCCTCTCTGACATATTCCACTAGACATCAGCTGTAAAATTTGTTTGAAGAATAACTGACTAGTACCTTTATGCTTGAATTATTATTTTGGTGACACTTTTACAATATATGTACATAATAGTTTAAAATAAAGCTGTTAACTAGATTTAGAAGCTGAAAGCTTTCAAGTTCGAGAACAGCCTTGCATAAAAAAAAACAATATCCAAGGTGTGATATTTCGTATTCCCATAAGAGATTCATGACTGGCAGAACATTTAGAAATAACCAACTAACTTATATCTGTGATATTCTAGGGTAGATTTATGATCATCAAACTGGGGTCTGGCAGGAGTAAAATTTTAAAAGGACAAATTTTTTTTTTTAATTTAACAATAAGAAATAAAGATACATAGTTTTGTGAAAAATAAACATAATTTATCAAATATAATATTATTTATGTCTAAATGTTCATCTCTCTTGCCTTCCAACCTTCTTGTGTTCTGCTGAACATAATGTATGATCTATGGCATCATAAGATATCTTAAATATACTTTAGGGTAGGATTTCACAACAATAATTTTTAAAACCGAGAAACTAGAAAGGGACTCCAAAATGAAATTCATTGCACAAATACACATAATCAACGTCTGGCTCACCAAACAGAAATAGTGGACTGTCAGTTTGTGCTGTTGGAGGGTGATCTTCTCTCCATACTTCTCTGGAATGTTGTCACATCTCTTACAAAGACTACAGACTAAAGGACAGACACAGATATGTAATTCATTTGACGATATTGTGTTAAAAATGGCAACGTTATATAGGTGCATATCTGATTATTGGTATTATCGTAACGAAGAAATTCGTTGCTACATAAACCTGTAGGAAAAGCAACTTACTGAGGTCTTTGTCGTCGTGAATCTGTTTTATATCGGTAGTCTCCTCTTTCATCGCTTTCATTGTTGTGTATTACACAGCGAGCATAAAGTAAAAACGAAATTTTAAAATGGTGATATTAATAGTTGTAATAGTAGCAACAGCTCTAGCGGTCTGTTGCTACTGTCTTGGCAAGTTCAGTAACTGCCATTGGACTCACTTTATCACGAGCTTTTTCTAGTCTTCTCACTCCCTAAGACAAAAGTACATAGTCCTTATGTAACCGGGGTTTTTAATAAAATTATATTAGACTCATTATTGTAAGAGTATAAATCGCATGAAAATTCAAAATTCCCTCTGCTAGGGAAGATCCGCCTATGCGCTTGCTTTTGGTTGGTTGAATTCAAACCAAAACAGAGATTTTCTTGTGGGAGGGGCTCTGGGGTCACGCACCACGCAACTTCCGTTTATTATACAAAATAAAAGTATACGAATTTTATGACAAAATAAGATGTGAAGTTTGATTTTGTGGAAATAAGCTGTATGAGGTAGAAGTCCCACACTGACAGTAAGTGATACTTTTACATTGTGTCTTTATATTTGATATTTCATATCAATTGTTTAAAGCTACATCACAGTACCCACAAGTTTTTATAATATTTATAAAAAACATGATGTAACACCTGATCTGTATACAGGTGCAGGTGACAGAGTATATATTTAATTATTATTATTATTATTATTTGTATTTGACTGTGTAATAATGTAATCATTTATAATTTCATTTTATTAAATTTTATATTTTAATACATTTGATGTTTCTATATTCAAAATTGTAACATTTAAAGCATGAATTTTACATACTTATTTCTGCTATAATTTCCCTGTAAATGCATTTATTCTTCCACTGCAGAACTGACCAGTGTTTGTAAAAAGCAAAGGCAGCATATTTTTGTGTTTAATATGCTGCTTCAGCTGCAGCTTTTTGCTGCCTTTGCAAAGTAAAGTTAACTTATAGACCACTGTGCATAAAATGGCTCCAAATGTTTTGGCTTAATTGGTGTAAAGCATTACATTGCACTTGGTGTACATTGACGTCTGTGCATTGATTAAATACTACTGAAGAATTAATGGTTTGAAATAACATGTACCCAATATGCAATTCTGAAAAAAAGTATGTGAAAAGGCCACTGGGTTTATCTACTCAGATCCCTACATTTCATGAAACATAGAAAGCTTCTGACAGTTTTTCCCATGTGATTTTATATTTTCTGTATACTGTATGTAACCATCACTTTTTACCTAACTGTGTAGTGGTTGCTGTATAATAATAATAATAATAATAATCTATAGTTATTTTTTAATTATTTTTTATTATTCACATTCTGCAACTTGTTACCTTCAAAAACAGCTTTGGAGATAAACTAACTGTTAAAGGATCACCTCCTGTGCACTGCCTTCCTTCCCTGCCCTAAACAACAATCTAACCTTCACAAGATGTTGAAATTCTTACTTCAAACTCTAATGCATTTGAGAGGTGAGAAAAGAACTGATGGTTTCACACAGCGCCTGCTTTCCTTGAAAGGGTTAAACCTAAGAGAATGTGCCTAGTTGATTCTTCATCAGTTTCACTAACCAGTAGGTGGTAGCAGATCAAAACAGTTCAAAGTGCTGTCTGCTTGAGAACTGCCTCCCCTTCCCTAATCTGACACAGATCTTCAGCAGATCAATTTATGATATTTGTATGCTAATTTGACACATCCACACTAGAACAAAGCATCGTTTTTAGAACCATCTTAAAAGGACAAAAGGTTAAATATTAATTGCGCACATTTTCTTAAAGCTTTCCCACTTTTAGTAGTGTGTGCCAATATGCTTACAATGTTTAGCATATTGATTTGTAACAATGAGCAATTAGTAATGAATTGTAATTACTTTTGCAATCATTTATGTATTAATTGTAACTTATTTTTTTGACTTTTTCAGACTTGCTATAAAGCACTGGCAAATGGCAAGTCTCAGACCGGTTAGCCGCAGTACACGTAGCAAAGTATTATATATATATATATATATACACACACACACACACACAAAGAAAAACAAATAGATAGAATAGAAAAAATAGAAAGCTAGTGTTTTTTTTTTAATAAAAAAGAAGATAAATAGATAAAGTAGAATTAGAATAGAATAGAAAGTGCTAGAGTTAGAGGGTCAAATAAATATGGAACAGATGTGTTTTAGTCGTTTTTTGAAGATGGCTAAGAACTGATTAATACATCTGGTGCCCTGGAGGGAATACTGTTTTTAGAGATTTCTCTACCCCTCCAGCAAGTGCACACAAAATCTGCATTCAGTCACTGGTTGCACCTGTAAACTAACCTGCACTGCCCTGGCTGGCAGTCACAACTTATTCATAGACTCACTGGAGTGGATTAAAACAAATAAGTGCTGGGCTGCATGTCTGTTTCTCCTGCCTGAGCAGATCCAGGAGACCCAGATCAAGGTCTTGACTTGCCTATTGTTTGACAACACTTGCGATGGGGTCCTTGAATGCTCTTTTGACTTGAGATATATGATTACAGGACATGCTTTTCCTCCCTTCACTAATTCCAGAGGGAGTCCAAACAACTCCCTCAATTTTCGACGCAGTGCTTCCTCCCCCAGTGTCCAATGCTTCTCAGAGTTTGCATTATGCAAGCTAATTTAGCCAATTATGCACAGGTGTGATGCTAATTCTCCTCTCACATACCGAGCTCCCGACAGTAAAAATAGTATAATTATACAGCTGTTCCCGTGTTTTCCTTCCCAGCCACTGCAACAGCCTCTGTCTCACAAAAACCAGCGTTTCACTAAAGGCTATCTTGAAGAATCTACCACGACTTTCAATCCTTTCAACTCAACTGTTCATTGTTGTACTTTGTGAAGCAGGTGTGAGACTGTATCACACTCCATATGAAATGTAACATTGGATATTATTGCACAGGCACAGACTAACTTGGAGTCTACATAGCCTACAAATTGCTCCATTTGTCAATTGAGAAAAACACGTTTTCTTGTTTTTTGCCGGCAGTTTTGTCAATTATGTCTGGAATGTCACAGACATAGTTTTGTTATTACATACACTCTTAAAAAAGGTTCATTTATGGTTCTATGAAGAACCTTTAACATCCATGGAACCTGTCCATTGCACAAAAGGTTCTTTGTAGTGGAAAAGGGTTCTTTAGATTATTAAAATGTTCTTCACTTTAAAGGTGGGGTAAGCGATTTTTAAAAAACGCTTTAGAAAACTGATTCGGGCCGACTAGCAAAACAAACTTGTAGCCAATCAGCAGTAAGGGGTGTGTCTACTCATGAGGCTTTCGATGAAAGTTAATTTGTTCATCTCTCAATCATCATTGTATTGCATTGCATTATGTGTTTTGAACATACAACTAAGCATTTAAATATCCTCTTACTAAGACATATTATTAGAGATATATACTGATGACTGATATTTATATTGTTTTATGTAAGCTATACTGCTATATAGATCTCATCGATTTACATTACAAGCATGCGATCGGACGCCGAGGTTGCTTTGTTTCTTCTCGATAGGTGAGCAACACCGTGTCTGCGCCGCAACAGCTAAAGTCTGTCTAGTACACTGGAACACTGCAACAAAGCGAAATTGAAAATCATTCGAAATTTGTGTCCATACGTCATGAATAGAACGCAGCAGCAGTTTTCTGTCGGGGATTTGTCGTGTCGCGTCGCGCCGCATCCAGTGTAGTCAGCATCACTGATTATAATGAGTTCTATAGTATTTTGCCGCGCCACTCACCTCGCATCCGGTGTAGACACGGTGTAACATTGGTTTTGCTTTGTTTCACAGAACTAATCGTTGCCTGGGTTGCGTACGTATGTGTGGGGCGGAGCTATCAAAATAGGGGCGAGACCCTTTTGGGGTAGGGGCGTATTTGTTTTGGTGATTTCAAATGTCAACATTGGCTACCAGAAATCGCTTACCCCACCTTTAAGAAAAATAAATATTTTAAGCCCTGTTCACTAAAAATTTACTTTAGGGAACCCAATATGGTTTTTCAATGGCATCACTGCAAAAACCCCTTTGGAAACTTTATTTTTAAGAGTGTAGGAACAGGAAAATGTGTAAATAGTAGTTCAGTGAGTCTAAATTCATAGTTACAGAGGAGGGTGGAAAAGCAGTAATTTATAAAACAATGTTTGATGAGAGTTTTAACCCGAGCGTACGAATGTTCATCTTGAATGTTTCTGAGGAAGTGTAATGCATTCCTGATCCCACACTTCCACACACCTCTGAAAAGTCCCCAGATTCTCTCTTTTTTTTTTTTTTTTTTTATAGTGATAGAGCTTACACCTGGGACAGCAACCTTTTCATTATATTCTGTCACTTTTCATATGTTTAATCGACATGACCACCAACCCATATGAAGAGATCTCTTCTCCAGACAAAAAAAAAAAAACTGGATATTATTATCAGGGTATGTAAGAGCTGCAAACCAGTCCTTGAAATTGATGGCTGAGGAACACAGTCCCCTGAAAGAAGTCAAATTAAATGATCATGGTCCCTAGTTAGCTGCCCTTTCAATATATACAAATTTCTGTAGGGAATAGGATTGACTCTGACCCCACTCTTGAGGCCTCCTGGTGCACATGTATAACAGCTTGTGATATCTCATCTCGTGTGGCTTGAGGAAATTGCTGTCTACACAGGCCAAATAATTCTGTCTCTTTGACCTGTGGTTCATGGAAGTCTAATTATCAGCTTCAGCGCTGGGCTCGCCGGGGTCCCCGAGCCGCCTTAAAGGCCCTGGGCTGTCACCCTTTCCGTCTCCCCTCCCAAAATGAAAATTGAGTTGTCTGCAGAGTGATAAAATGTGTCTGCTAATCAGAAATGTGAAAAGATCCGGGGCAAGAGTGGCACTGAGGCATGAGAGAATTGCTGATTTTACTAACATATATAATCACTTGAAAACATTCTTTTAGAAATGGGCACCCTTTCATATCATAGATGCTCATTAGTCTTGTTAGCACGACTTGAGCTGCTGGAATTACTTAATGATTTTAGATGGTTTGTTTGCTTGTGAGTTAAAGCATTTGCAGATTTATGCCATTTATCCAATTTTGTATTGTTTAGCATGTTTAATAATGTCTGCATTATTGTTCATCCAAACAAGTTATTTCTCATTATTTGTGATATAATATGGCACTCCATAAATGTAAAAAACTGTCTTAAAATTAAGACACAAGAACAGAGGAAAACAAATATGTCAATGCGCGTGTGTGAGAGAGAGAGAGATGGGATGGGGGGTCTCTCGTTTTTCATCACCCTCAGGTCACAGGGTTCACAC